TTTTCCGCTAGATTTAGCGGGGAAGCTTTTCCGCTAGACTTTGCGGCGCAAATTTTCCGATAAATCTAGCTGGGAAAATTTTCCGCTAGATTTAGCGGGGGAAATATTCCACTAAATATAGCGGGGAATATTTTCCGCTAGATAGAGCGGGGAAAATGTTCTGCTAAATTTAGCGGGGAAAATGTTCCGCTAGATTTAGCAGTAAAAATTTTCCGCTAAATTTAGCGGGGAAATTTTCCGCTAAATTTAGCGGGGGAATTTGCCCATCATGCACCGCGTGGCTACGCCGACGGCGTCGGCAATGCCGACGCTGCTTAAGCCGGAAACGGGTGCCTAAAAGCTGCGCTGTAAAAAGAGTAACCAACATATCAATTAAGCCTCGTCAGTAGTGGGACTAGTAACTCAAAGTAATCACATTAGTGATAAAATTCTCAATTGCCCCCCAAAAATTCAAATTTTATAAACAATTATTCTAAGTTACCAAATGTGTAAGCGAAACACGACCACTGAACACAATAAGTCCATATATATATTGTGGATTAAATTGACTGACCCCGGGATTAAATTGTGTGGCGCTTGGATTAAATTGTATGGCGCTTGGATTAAATTGAGTGACCCCGGGATTAAATTGGTCGTCGCTTGGATTAAAATGAGCGGGAAAACCTGTAGTAACGTTGGCGGCGACTGACGAACGTTTATTTTCTTTGTTTTCCTTCCTCTCAAAACTCTGACTGACTGAACGTTTATTTTTCTACGTGTTCTTCTCGCGCGTGCCGACTTCAAGCAGCAAGAAAACAGTACTTAAAACAGACCACGACGAACAAGAACGCTGGATCCACCGACTCCGACGAAGCGAGCTGCTCAGAATATAGGCCTAGCAGGCATTCCAACTCGGCGCTGCGTTGCTTCGTCGCAAGACCGTCTGCCTACGACCGGCTGGCGTGCTAAATGGAATATGCCCGCGCGACCCTTGTGGACCCTTCCCGTATTATAGTTTGATCGCTGACCTCAATTTTAGATTAAGAGGTGAGGTCAATCTCTTCCCCTTGTTTTCCGAGGCAGTGTTGACGAACACTCATCGAAAAAGGACTCTCGTCGATTCTATGTTCTTGTTTTGTGTGATATAGAGCTGAAATAAACGTCGTATGGATTACCTTCGTAACACGGTATGTAAACTTTGTTATTCGTATGCCATTTTTATTCTGACAGACTGCACGTCACTGTCGAGCTATAACAGTTCGTGGGAGGTATACGTTCAACCCCGGTCCAACCTTTCTTTGCCGAGTGTCGCGTCAGTATCGAGTTGCAATCGTAAAAGAACGGTCCCGAAGCGCTTACCAACAGCGCGAATACAGTACTTCTATCAAGCCTACGTCACGGCTTGTTTTACGGTCAGTCGGAAAGAATGAAAAAGTCGATATTTCAATAATTTTTTGTGTAGAAGTTAATAAATTGAGACGAAAACGGATGCCTGTTCGGCATTCAGTGAACATTGACGGTTTAATGTAAAAGTTATCTGGAAAAAGTAAAAAGGTCATTTCATGGTCCCTTTAATCACAAAAGTACAAATCACCTACAAAGATGAAGACAAGAAAATATTTATTGCTACAATGCAAAATATTGCACATTCGGAAGAGGTCGGTTGAAAAAATTGAAGAATTAATCTGCATATGGCTTGAGCTTCTTGAGGCCAGTCTTTGCCAAGATCACTGGCACAAACTGATCGTTCGTGAAGTGATCCTGAAAAATAAATGCAGCATCGCATATTTTTAGTTGCCATTTGTGAAGCACCGATAGCGGAAATATGTGGCGCAAACAAAATCGTGAGGTGCGCGATCGTTGGTGACTCTCCTTTCACTGACGCAAGATGCACGCGGTAACACTACAACCCTCTTTATTTTAGTGGCGCCCTAGTCTCTCAGGCATCATTCTCAACTGGGCCGACTCAATGCAAGCGAGCTAAGAGCGAGCGAGTCGGTTTTCAATATCAAATACGCGGTAAAAGACGTCTCAAAGACCTTCGTGCCGGCAATATAGTTCCGCGTTTCTCTCGTCTCATGATCGTACTAGGTGATCTTCATCGGCGAGACCGAAAGAGACAGGTAATACAATTCAGAGTTTGGCAGGGATTTACCTCGCAAAGTCTCCCTCGGAGGCACTCGAAACTTTTTCGACCGATCTGGTGGAGCCATTGTCTTCGCCGTTAAGGATTTTCCTTTCCCGTCGGGACGGCAAAAAGCTTCTTTCCTTTCGCAATGCTGTTTGTGCAATCAACAGCGCAGCATGATGGCATCGCGTTGCCACCGAGGTTGTGGTAAAATATATATAAAAAAAAAACCTATGGCCGGGCCGCGAACAACGGAGCCACCGCTACGCCTCGCCCAGTGATGGCGTTGGTTTCGAGCAGACGACGGAATCGCGCGAGATCATGGGAAGACAACGGTCACGTGTTGCGCCAGATCCAATTGAAGTGAGGGGAAAGAGAACTTTTGAGAGGGAAAGAGCACCGCGAGGAGAAATTTCTCTCCCCCAATTCAGACAATGGTTTGCGCTACCTTTCAGTATACAGAGGCCTTAACCGCGACGCGGCCGTAACGCCATCTGTTGGAGAGTTGGAGAACGTCGTAACCTTGCCCATGGCCTCCAAGATCCCGAAGCGCGCACGCGAAGGCTTCTCCGGCCATCCCATTCGAGTCGCTCCCCAGCAAAAAAGTGTAATTGCCCTAACTCCGTCGCTCGCCGCGAGGCGCGCTGTCTGCCCAGTCATAACAGGGGGCAAGCTGGCGAGCCGTTAGCCTCGCAGGTAGAGATCTGCACTGTTACGGGCCAGACCGCAGGCCACGGGCCGGCCCGGCCCTCGGGCCGAGCTCGTGCTTCAGGTCAACATTCACGAAGGGCCCGGGCCGGGTACAGGCCTTGCAGTCACGTCTACAAGGGGGTTCAAAGCAAGCCATACCGGCCATTACTTTTTTTTTTTTAACGGCTTGCTTTTTGGAATTGTGTTTGGGGGTTGGGAGAGGAACCCCAGTGGGGGACAAACAGATGCTGAAGCATGTGTGTGTGGGTATATGTTTCTGTATGGTTTGGTGTGTGCAGCGAGTGCTGTTCCAGAGGACTAGCGCCGCGGCATTTTTTTTCGTCCCGGCAGCGCCGCGGCCCTCATACAATCGCTTCTCACCACAAACACGCACATACACGTACCTATACAATGCATACTTTCGCCGGCGTAAACCATCTGTACGCACGAGTGCTTGCATCCCCAATAGGGGTGAAGAGGTTCCCCGGAGGGGTACTTTTCCTGAACAATCTCTCGCAGACCACCGCCAAAAACAACATTGCTGTTTGTTTGTTTGTTTTTTGTTTTTTTTACGGTTGTGCGCAGCGGAAGTGGCTAACTTAGAACTTTGCCCGTCTTTTGTAAAAGCCCATCGCGATGTGTCCCTTCTTTTCCAACTGTGACACGTGGTTTTGTTTACTTCTGCTTGTCATTTCTGTTTTTCCGTCCTTTCCGCGCGTGTTTGGTCGCAGAACAGGAAGATCGGGTGATTTTCCTTAACAAGCTGCCTAGGCCTGCAGATTGGTCGAACTAATAATTCCAGCAAAAAAAAAAAAAAAAGCTTACAGTATTTACTATTGGGTATCATAATCAACTTATGTGTAGCAGTTGCAAGCGAGCTGCCATGCCGCGCAATTTGTGAGCTATTCATACTGGGCTAAAATAAAGCGTAGCTGGCCGTGAAAATTAGCTTCGGGTCATTCTGCGCCGGCTGTCGCAAATGGATAGCAGACTAACTAGAGTTCTTTTTCTTGAGATCCCATTGTTTGCTTGCATATCAAATAAGTTACACCACAAAGTGCATTACGGGATACGGTGGTCTGTGCTACATCTGCCAGAAACTAGACGTTTACAAGATAACGCCCCACCTTTTCAATGAGTACCAACAATTATCACGAAGTTCATAAAAAAATGGCGAAATCATTGCGAGCTGGTTGTACTTCACCACCAAAGGTTTTTCCCCAAACCCGGCGTCACACTGCTTGTACATCGTACACAAAAGACAGTCTGCAAAGACATTCAAACTCGAGTCACCACGAAATCTGAGCTTCGAATGCCGCAACGCAACGAGTTCAATTAGCCACTTGGCACGCAGCATTTGAACCACGGATATCGTGGTGACTGATATCTGCAGACTGTCTTGTGTATAATGTATAAGCAGTGTGACCCCGGCAGGTACTTCTAGTAGAAGCAAACACCGCAATACGACCCACAAAAGTTGGGTAATAAATATTAAAAATATTAAAAGAAGTACAACACGGACTTCATTATATAGTATCAAACCTCGTGAGGCTCAAAAAGCTACGCCAAACAATGTGCGAAGGTAAAAAGAAGTATTGCAGCATGAATATTTTTATTTAGGAAAATACTAATATTTTTTTTTTATATACGGAGTTTTTTTTTTTAGTTTTATACGAGCACAGATTGCAATCAAATATATCAAAAGGCGCGCCTGTAGCGCTAGCCGCAACATGGCCAGATGAATATCTTAAATTAAATAATTACATAAGCATCACAAATTTTCTATCTACGTCCCCAGAGCAGCTGTTCACCGTTCTACCACAATACACAAAAATTTGTAAGTATAAGTTGCAGTAACTGGACGTAACACCTCGCGCCATGCTGTCGATGACTGGGTTGGGAGCGCCTCCCCGCGGAGACACGCCGCCTCCTTCTCTATTTTCGATTACGCCCTCTCCGCACGAATGGGATGGCCGGAGAAGCATTCGCGCGCTTCGGGATCTCGGAGGCCATGCCTTGCCATCCTTCTCACATCCGGGGCTCCGGGGCCTATCGCATGTCCTTGCGCAAGCACGTTGTTGCCATTGGTAGTCTTTGCCATTTCTGTTTTGTTGCGGTTGGCAGTGTGTGCAGTCCGCTAGAATAATGACGACAAAGCAGCGGCAAGCGCTGCCGCTTTCTGACAAGGTGGACATTAATCGCCATGTCGAGCGCGGCGAGAAAGAAATCGGACGTGGCTGCAACCTTCAAGATCACCAGAAGCACGTTGAGCACGATACTAAAGAATAAGTCGACAATCAAGAACCAAGCCCACGAACGACCGAATGCCGACAGCAAACGCATCCGGAAACCGGCCTACGACGCGGTGGAGAAGACTCTCTACCAATGGTTCCTGGACATTCGCGCGCAGAACCTACCCGTCTCTGTTCCCATGCTGCAGAGCAAGGCGAGAGATTATGCTTTCGTCATGGGGGTTGAAGATTTCACCGGAGGCACTGGATGGCTGCAACGGTTTAAGACCGCTACTCGATTGTGGGAAAAGTAGTGGCTGGTGAAAGGTGTGCCGTCGATACGGAAGGCGTCAAGAAGTGGATAGATGACAACTAGCCGGCAATTATGGAAAAGTACAAGCCATGTGATACTTTTAACACGGACGAGACTGCGTTATTTTGGCAGCTGCTTCCAAGCAGGACCTTGGCGCTCCGAAATGAGGACTGCCATGGTGGAAAGCTGAGCAAGGTTCGCGTCACTATCCTTTTGACGACCAACATGGACAGATCATCAAAACTGCGCCCGCTAGTCATTGGCAAGTTCAAGTCGTCGATATGTTTGCGAGGATGCGGCCCCCTACCCGTAACATACACCTTTAACAAGAAGGCGTGGATGACCAGGGTGTTGTTCGAGACGTGGCTTTGCGACTGGGACGAAGAATTAACATCAAGTGGGCGCAAGATTTGCCTACTGCTCGACAATTGTTCCGCTCACCACTGCGGTGTATCGCTTAAGAACATCGAGCTGTGTTTCCTGCCGCCCAACGCAACGGCAGTGCTCCAACCACTTGACCAGGGTATCATCCGTGCTTTCAAACAGGGGTACTGAAAGCGTCTTGTGGAGCAACTTCTCGTCAAGATGAGCGTCGGCGGAGAGCTGAAGATCGACTTGCTGGCCGCGATCCAGATGCTGAGCCGCGCCTGGTGTGATGTTACAAGCGACACAATTCGCAATTGCTTCCGGCACGCTGGACTCGGCCTGGAAAACGGCGAAGCAGCGAGCCCAGTGCAAGAGAACGATGACATAGGAGTCCTCTGGCAGGAACTTGGTAGCCTCGCTGATGCGTTGCCCGAGGGAGTCGACCTATAAGATTTTTTGATGGCCGACGACGACGTTGCTGTGGCTGCAAGCCCTTCGGACACAGAGATCATTGCGGATGTGGCGGCAGCTGCTGCCATTGGTGACTGCGAGGAAGCAGAGGATTCTGAAGATGAAGGTTTACCTCGTCAGACGCTTCACAAGGCACTTTCAGCGGTGGACGTGCTGCGTCACTACTGCTCCGATATCGAGGGAAGCGGACTGGAGTTCGTACAAGCAGTGTCGCGCGTCGAGAACGCCAATCTTGTGGATGCTGCCAAGTCAAAAACCGAAGCGAAGATTACTGCCTACTGTGAATAGATTGTTCCCAATGAATGGATTTCTTGAACAGTAAGTGGCATCGTGTTTTTTTGCTGTTCGATGTCCATAAACCAGTGTATAACGAACATATCGTAGAAATTCGTTATACGCAAATATCTCCATAACGAACTACTCGATTTATCGAACTAGACGTAGTGTTTTATGCAGTTTGTTATAAACGGGTTCTACTGTATAGGTCGAGTCAGCTTCGGGCTGATGTTCACAAACCACAGTTGGACTCTGGCCGGGTTCGAGTTGGGCCTTCACATTGCACCCGATCTGATCTCTATGTGGAGGTCATCAAGCAGACCAAACAAACCCCCGAGGACGACCCAGCAGGCAACAGCAATGAACAGTAGACAGCAGAACCAGAAGTAACAATGATCCTTGAAGTAATCGCAGTATCCGACTCGCTAAGCATTGCTTGCGTCGCTCCCGGACTCCCGACTCAGTATTTGATCAGCATTTACAACATAAGATGGGTGATTGCTGCTCGTCCCAACAGCTGTGCTACTCAAAAGAAATTTACTTAACGTTTTGCGTAGATATCCGTGCACTTGACCTTCAATAAAGCCTGGTTTCATTCACTTCACTCATCCTGCTGCCTTGGAGGGGTCATGCTGAAAACGAAGGATTTTCGCGGTGCTGATGATTTTCGTATACAGGCATTTGATTGTATACAGTTTCATGGGAGCACATTCATGAGACACAACAACCCGAATTGGAGCAATTACAGCAAAAGAGCAACTTAAAAACCACTCAGTGTAGCAACATTGTCTCGGAGGGTTGAGAAGTTCTCGAAGGACTCACCTGGGAGATGGTGTCGCATTGGTCAAGCTCTCATGGAAGCACTGGTAGCCTAGTGATTGGTTCCACTCACCTTCTTGGTCAGCTGTCGGTTCTTGCAGTAATGCCACGGCTGCAAGCTCGAGGCTTCTGTCGACTTGGTCTTTGTTCCCGAGGGCTGAGCAACACCTGCAACCAAGCCACACATTTAGGATCTCTTGCACACTTTCCTCAAAGGCTCCTGTTGTACATTTTATTCTTGCTAGGTTTGAGTCACAACACCTGAGCTGGCCCCGCCTCGCACAGGTGGTGCGAGGGAGGGTGGGGCATCGATGGACCAACGAGACAGCTGAATCTCTCCAGGGTCAAATCGTAACGAACATTTTTTGGTGAAAAGCTTGGGTTGTTCGTTACAAGTACAGAAAGATTGCACTGTATTGGTAAACGAACGGCTGATAGACCGAGGCCCGTTATTGTGAAACTTTTTAACTTTTCCAAGAAAATTATTATTTTTAAGAACTGCCGCAAAGTGAAGGCCTCTACAATCTCTGCTTGAGAATTTTTCAGAAAGAGTATGCAGTATTCGTAATGTGGAACAATGCTACCGAAAATTGTGCGAAAGGCGATAAAGTCAATCTAGTCTACGATAAGCTCAAAATAAACATGCTTTATGTTTGGAATTTTGAAAGGCAATCGAGTTTCAATGAATCAGCAGTTTTCAGAACAAGTCCACTGACAGTCAAAATGTAAGTCTAAAGATGCCATAAGACTTATTAACTTGAATCAAAAGAAGCATCAAAAATAAAACTGTTGACTTGGAGCACGTAATGCTATCACATAATTATCATCAGTATCATGATTATTACAGAAACATGGCTGAACGATAAGATAATGGATTCGGAAATAGTTCCACTCGGCTATAAATATATACGGAAAGACCGAGATACACAATGCGGGGGCATGGCTATAATCTTAAAGGAGGATATACGGTTTCATCACATGCCTGTCATGGACGGGGTGGAAATCTTCTGGGTTCGTGTTGGTAGTTATTTATTCTACCACCCTTATCGTTGGAGTGTTTTGTAGTCCCCCTGGAAACGATAATTCTGTTGAAGACCTTAATTAGTATCTCTTAACAAACGTACACGCAAGTTCCAGGGTTAATTTAGCTGGAGATTTTAAACTCCCCAATAGTGAATGGCAAAGCACACAGTCATCCCGCACTATCACGCAGGTGTTGATTGAGTTAACTTTATTTCATAATCTCGTTCAGAGAGTTAATGCACCGAGAGTATCAGTCGAGATTCAATTCTTGCCTTGGTTTCTTTTTCTCGGAATTTGGTCAAAAGAGTGAAGGATGTTGAGATTTTTGAAGGCATTTCGGACCATAAATTGGTATATCTTACTTTATCAGCTACGCAAAAGGATAAAAAAGAATGGCAAAGAAAGTATGTTGTAACCATTCTAAGGCAGATGATACTGGGATTATTGAATCTTTATCTTTTACGTTTTCTAAGTTATCAAGTGCATACCTTGTGCCAAAATCACAGATCAATTTCTTATGGAACTCTTACCAAAAGCTTGTTATCGAGTGTATTAATAAATTTGTGCCAAAAAGGAAGAAGGTCACAAACAAATGGAAACCGTGGATAACCGGAGAAATTATTCATCTCTAGACTATGAAAACAAAAGAGATCTGATCCTCATTCAGTGTATAAACCATGAACTGAAAGACAAAATAAAAGCAAAATATAGGTATTTTAACGTAACTTTGAGTGCTTTCCCTTCAATCTTTACCTAAGTTTTGGCGTTACTTGTTGCTAACGAGGCATAATGTGAATGAAGTTACTGTTGACGGCGAGAGCGTTGATAGACCCGAGTTCATTGGCCGGTGCTTTCAATTATTATTTTATGTCTGTTTTTACCGTAGATGATAAGCTAGGCCTCGCTTTTGAGCTGGCGGCCGAATACACTCAAAACAGGAATTCCTTGCATGATATCGTTATATCAGAAGAGGGAGTAAAAAATCCTTTCCATAAGAAGGCACAAGGCCCATACGGTATTCACAACGAATTTCTGTGACGGAGCACTGAGTCATTCATGACTCCAAAGGATGCCTGGCCAGAAACAATGCAGTCCTTGACATGTCCGAGCTTGGGCAGCAACACGCGGCCTACAACATCGGCCAGAAGCTCAATGGTGCTGTGAGCAAATCGCTTGTCCCTTTGCTACTGGAAGTGGCAACTGTGACATGTGACAATGCACAAAACGTGAAAGCACTGAATGATAAAGGAATGAAGCATGTGCCATGTATGGCCCATTGCTTCAATTTGGTAGTGAAGGCATCACTAATCAAGTCTGGTCTAGAGGTGGAGGAGACTTTCAAAGCAGCATGTGCCATCGTTGGCCATTTTTGACACTCGACCAATGTTCAAAGGCAACTACCCAGCGACGGCACGGGTTGCTTGTTCACAAGCTTGTACAGGACACTCCAACCAAAAGGAACAGTACCTTCTACAGTGTAGACCGCATATAACGTATGTCTCGGGAGTCGCGAAAATCCGCACTATAAGCGGTACCGCACTATAACCAAAACATCAATTTTTCAGGCCAAAATATGTGCCATGAGACAACTTACCTTTGTAAAAGAATTTATTTTATGTTAGATGAAAAAATAAGCTTAGTTTGAGGAAAGTCTTTATTTCAATAGACTAGTACAGTTATGTCTCAAGTGTGTCGCACATTTTAAAAGAAATTAGCGGCTTTTGCCTGGCGCAGCCTTTTAACGGCATCGCGGGTTGTGGACGGACGTTGCGAGCGTTCAGGATTGCTAACCCTAATCACTTTTCGCCGATGAAAACGCGTGAAAATTCGCATCCTTCATACGGTACGCGCCAGTAATACCTTGAACTTGAGCACACGCATGAAATGCGCCAAATAAGAAATCCGGGCGATGTTCGAGGACACAAACGCTTAGAAATCACCACTGTAGTCGAAGTAAACAAACACGACGACACGGGCGTTTCTGCCGTCTTGAGAGCGCCGCCACGACATCGCCGCACGAGTAGGTGGATCTTCCCTTCTAGTACG